AACATTTAAACAGTCAATCTTTTGAAAAACAAAGTAAATTCAGCTCAACTTCACAACGAAAATATGAGCATAAGATCACTTTTAAATTGTATCTTTTGATAGCGTTGGTATTTCTTTTTCAAAAGACTAACAGCAATTTTAACAACCATGGTAACGCGTAAGCGCCCCAGTCCAAATTTTGTAATGAACCTTTTATTAAGCGTGTAAACAATACTAGTTTCTCAATAAGATAAACATCTCAATGGATGAATGAATGAAAGATTTTGTAAGATTTCTATGTTTGCTGTTCGATAATACGATCGACCAGTGGTGACTTTTCAATATCTCAAATTCCTAGGTACATCTTACGAATTCCCAAAACACTCGATTTATATAGAATTCACGGATCTACGAAGTTCATGAGTTCACATTTTAGCTTCACGAATTCAAATTTTAACTTCATGAATTCACGATTGCATCTTCATGAATTTCATGACTTTAAATTCACGAATTCGCAATTTCAACTACACGATTTTACTATTTTAATTCAAATTTATGAATTCACGTTTTCAATTTCATGAATTCAAGATTAAAACATGAATTAACGAAATCCAAACATGAATTCATGAAGTTGAATTCGTTTGGGTTTATATTTTAATGCTTATATTGAGCTAAGAACTTTACAATCTGAAATCATTAGATTATTGATGTGTTCATGTCAATTTTTATTTTCATTTTATGTCCAAGATGATTATGAGTTTTTATGTAAGTAAATAAGTTAGGATTTTCAAAGGATATAGAAGGACATTGTTCATCATATAAGAAAAAAAACACATTTTATTTTCGCTTTCTATTACTTATTTTATCTTGTTTGCTTGTTTTGTCACTAACTTTGTTAAGTTATCGCTTATTTTTTGATCGCTTATATGAAGATTTTTAAAAATAACATTTGCAACAGAAATAAAATCTGGTCTAGACGAGGTGTTGGTTACAGTTCAGACTGAAACATAATAGAATTTTCTCTTATCGTAAAAGGTTCCAGGAATATGAAAACAAAATATTAAAGACCTTCATGTTCATGAAAATGAAAAGGGAAAAAGTCCAGTTTTTAAGAGAAAATATGAGACCTGACCAAGTGCTACGCAAAATTCAGAGACGAGGAGAAACAAAAGCAAAATGTGTTTACTACAAAGGGATGTGGTTACTTACAATAAGTTTAAGATGTGTCTGTTTACATTTTTGTAACAGAAGAGAGGGGCACAACCGAGGCGACATGTTGCAGAGTTATCAAAAGCCGCAAGTCTCCCATGCTACTTAATTTATGTAGAGACAAGGCTTAAACATAATTGTGTTCTTTCTGTGATTTGGTTTTTACCATAATAAATAAACAAACACAAAACAAAGGTTTTTGATAAAACATATTTAATAACCGTATTAAACGAAAATTAAATATCCTGTCTTTAATTCAATTAAGAAATTAATATTTACTAACTCTGCTAGAAATTTAACCAACATATATAAATTATAATTTTTTATGTCATGTGATGTTATTTACAATAGGATGAATAAATTACTATCAGCAAAAAGTCACGATATGAAAATTAATATAAATGAGAGATAGAGCAGTAACGTAGCTATTTAAGTAGCGTTTCCAAAGATGCCCATAAAGTCTAACTTTATACATGATATTCTAACGATGTAACCAGCATTATAACATATTCTAACACTATTGGATATTTCTCTTATAAAACATAGAAGGTCGGAAGTGTGATATATTTCACAGCAATGCACTTGCCGTTCCTGTCGTCCTTCTCTGTATTTAAAAACCGGCACAGTGACGGCGCCATTTTGTTTGATTAATAAAAACAACTTTTTGGTGAATTTTGTTCTAAAAACTATAAAGAATGATAGAAAATGGTCTAACTAAGAAAATAAAACGAACACCAATTTAAAGTGTTGTTTACGTGACGTAACAATGTAGCGCCAAACAGCGCTTGCAAAAGCAATAAAAAAAGAACGCTATTTCAATGTCGCAAACAAGTTAAATTTCACATTTATTTCACTTTAAATAATTCGTGTTTTACTTGAAAAACATAAAGTGAAATAAAATAAACACACATAAATTGTATCCACTTTTCAAAATTCATTATTCTCAAAATGTGTGTGCAAACGGAAGACTTAACGACAGTTTTCTTTTCATCCGACAGGAACAGCCTTTACAGGACGTTTCTTTTTGAAACTAACAGGTGAAAACAAATTTAACCATCAAACATTTAATCCAACTACATATTTTCTCCTGACGTGTTAGAATAAAAATATATATTAATTATTTGCATTATAGTATAAATGGCCATTTATGTCAGGTGACCGCCGAAAAGAGGTGACCGTAAGTACAGTTCCTACTGTAATAATGCATGTTTTTTCGTTCAAATGCTTTGTAATTAATCACTCGTGATTATATTCCTAGAAATTTAAACACAAACCGTGCATTATTGTACAACAATGCACTCAGAATTGATATATATTTCCTAATCATTAATTTAGTTACATAAATTGAAATAACAAAAGTGTCGAAATAAAAAAAAAACTATATTCTTTTACTTTTTAATCTCCACAAAAAAAAACCAACAATCATTTCAAAGGTAATTATCTTCAAATCAAAATTAAACAAACTGTTGTTTTGAATCAAAGTAAAAAAGGAACTACAAACTTAGTGTCATATATTTAATTTAATAGAATAGTAAGAAATACAAAGAAGGGGAAACAACCTGAAACTACTACATTAGCAAAGTCTGTAACATGCTGATATACGTGTTATGTGAGGAATGTTTAAAGTCGGTAAAAGGCTGAATTCTGTAGAATTAAAAAATATTACAACTATTGTATTGTAGGCGCATTATCTCTCAGAAAGTTTTTAATGTGTCCTTTGTTTTAAAGTGGAGATATGAATTAATCTGAAAAGACATCTAAATCATGGTTAAACTTTAAGAGCTTGTTGGAAAATTATTGGCTGAGGATAATAGAGTAAATTGTGAAACAATTTGCCATTTAAATAGCAACATATAAACAAAGTAGTATTTTAACTTCCATAAAATATTAACAACAGAACAAAATATCGTTTAGTTAACTTGCAAATAAATCCTTTTTTGAAGCTACAAAGTTTATTAAAATATAAAGTTTTGAGCAATAAAAACATATGTCTTGGGCATAATGGGTCTTTAATAAATTTTCGTTAAATGTGAGATGCAGTTAAAAATAAATCCTTCCAAAATAAGCAGTTTTCACCTTTTGAAATGTAGATAATGTTCCAGAATCTTTATTTTTATTCAGTTTCTGAAACTGCCTACGACATATTGCCAAGGATATCATCTTGTGACACGTTCATTCCCATCATTGAAAAATGTAATTCAAATATCAAGATAATTTTGTCTTCCCTTACAAAGGAAACTAACATTAAAAGATGATGATGCAATTTAAGATGAATATAATATTTTATTGGAAGACATATTAAGATTAAGTGGCATTCCCTGTAAAACCTGTTTTCATTCATAGGTCTTGCATAAGAGTGTAATTTAACTTCTAGCCAAATGAAAAGCCTAATCTTGATTTTAATTCATTTTTTCATGAAATTTAAATTGATCTTAAACTGGGATAACATTAAATGGTAAATAACAAAATGTTACAAAGTGTTGATTTTACAAGAAACACTATTTTATTAAATTGACGAATAACAGTACATTCAAATATAATAATAATGATAGGATAAAAATAAGGACCAATTTAGTATAAGGATCAACATTTGGATCAACTTAGTCTGTAAAATACTTTATTATATGTTGTACTATAAAAGAGGGTAAACATAAGTATTATAATGTTTAAATTATGGTTTAAAAGCATGTTAGACGCTTATTACCAAAGGCATGTAAGAATTATTGTGAACAAAATTTTCATTAATGGTAGCAAAATGACAATTTTCACCTCCATACAAAATACTGAATCATTATATCAGTACTAGTTTACAACAGAAAAAGAAGTAAACGGTGGTTTCAGGTAAATTGCAAGTATGTAAATCAGTAAGAACCATATTAGAACTATAAAAATACTCATAAAATAAAAATCTTTGAGATATAGAATAGAAATAAAGGCATTTTTGGGGGAATATTTTAATTTTTGATTGATTCAATGAATTAATGAGTTGAACAAATAAGTAAATTATACCCTGATCATTTCTTCAATAAAAAATAAACTGCTCTTGATTTTCTACCAATAGCTCTTGAAGTCGTTAGTAAGTGTGAGGTGAGTGTGAGTGCGCGGGCGGGCGGGCACGTGTGTGCATGCTTTTACATTCATTTTGCGTTGCAAGAAATGTAGAAATGTCATGATCGTGAGCAATTGTCGAGCTAAAATAAAACGCCATTTTATGAAAAGAATGAAATGCACGTGACATCATCAGTTACGTATTGGTTGATATCCCTATATGCTAGTTTTAGTCATTTGTGTTGATATTCTTTGCATTGCATTATATAATTTATTGATTTTACTGTGGGTTTTTCATTATGTGGGCAGTCATGTTTATGCAAAAGTCCTTGTGGAATTTTTGAACATAACAAAAAAAAAAATATTTATACTTTAATTTTTTTTTTTTTTTCCAAAATGATCAAAATTTTTTTTATTTCCAGAATAATCCAAGTTTTATTGTAGTTCACTGTTATTTATGAGGTCTTTTGGGGGAACTGACTTTATTACATATATTGGAAATTTCTTAGATAAAGTCGGGTCCATTCCAGAAATCAATTCAAATTTGTACTTAACAATTTTTAATTTGTGAAAATTGGATAAAAAGTATTGTATAGTAATTTTATAAAAAATTGTTTACGCTACTATAATGTTTCTAGTTTAAAACAGGAGAAATACTATTCGTTGTGGGTCACTCTTAATATGATTTCATGTTTTTATGAAGTGTTTGAATTAAGTACAATATAGATATTTATTTTGTATGTATGTGATATGATTAGTCTTGTTTCTTGTATATACATTTTGTCTTATGTCTTTAATTAAAAATTTGGCTTGATTTGATATTGATGAAATATAAGTATTGCTCCCTGTTTACTTTTCATTTGAAGAACTTGTTTCTAACGTAGCACGGCGACGAAGTAATGCCTTCTCCAATTCATTTGTAAGGTCACCACCTGGATTTATATCTTCAGCTTTCCTTACGTGATTCCCAGGGATATACCCACGTCTCCCACTTAATTCAGCAAGGAACCAACCTGAACTACATTTTTCCAAGACCGTCACTTCATCTCCTTCCGTGATTTCGATTTCATCCTGCGTTGTTGGTTTGTAATCCCAAATAGCTATATAGTTTTCTAAACATAAACAATAAATATAATGGATCCTTTACTGGTTAAATGTGCCGTTTCAGTTGTGAATTTACTACAGAGATAGTTCAGATAGTTCTTAAGTGTACAATAACGCTCAGTTAAAATAATTAACAAGATACATTCTATATCCATTTCAGCGCAAAAGAAAGAAAGGTGTAAATATGCAAAATATTTTAGTCTTAATAATTTGTTAATAAAATCATTTTTTGAATACAAGTAATAATCAAAACATTTATCTCAAGCCACAAATACAAATACATTCGATGATATCTGTCAGGAACGAATACTTTAAGTTTTCCTCATAATCGATTTCAAATAAACACAAATGTATTCTTGCTTCAGTTGGATTTACCTGGCTTTTGTTGAGGTACCGATATCATATCTTGACATGATTGGACATGAAATATATGATCCGGATGTGCTGTCTCCTCTCGTTCTGTACTTAAAACTGGAGATACATTAAAAGATCATTTGTTTCTTTACATTCAGCCGTGTCAATAAGTTTAATATTTGCAAAAATTGGATTTAGAACAGTTTATTTAAAAGTTTCAATTATTAAGTAATCATCAGTCTAGAGCCTGGTCGGGCTCCCGTGACCGAGTGATTTAGATCATAGGCTTTCAAACCACTTGCCCCTAACTGCTCACTTTTCTCATTTATCTGAGGAAGCTATCCAGCTACCATACGGACGTTTTTTGTTTTTACTCAGTTTGCCAGATGTGTGCAAGGAAGAGCAGCCTGAAAAGCTCAGGAATCGCAGTATAACCATTACAGTTTTTGTGTGATTTAACACAGAACACAGTATACCCTTGTCAGACCGCATGGTTTTGGGGAGTTTGAGATGATTGTAAACTTTTTATTAAATACTTTGATAAAGCAGGATAGGGGTTAATTTTAATAATTTTCAGTTCGAAATACTGATATACTTGTATTTAACCAGATGTTTCAAAACTGAAATCCTAGAAATGATATTGTTTTAAGGCATACACGCGCCGCGGATGAACAGACGGACGTCAAAACAAGATGGTATCCGGTCATGAACTGGAGGTTTTATTGATTTTTTTAATTAAACTTGATATAGAGAAAGCTTAAGTAAAGGAATCGCTTGGGATTTAAGGTCAAGGTCAAGTTACCTTCACTTAAAGACGATTTCCGATTAACAAGTAATTAAGAAACAAGATAGGTAGTCCTCGCTTAGGATATTAGGATTGCTTTTGAGCCTCCCTAGGGTCAAGATCAATGTCATTGTTAATAAAAAACAGGAAATCGGCTCCCGGTTAATTACTGATTTATAAAAGAAACTATTGGAATGAAACTTGTCTATAAGCACTTACGTTATGATCCCGCCTGGGATAGCAATGAGATATATCGACGAAACTTGTGATTCAAGCTAACAGTAAGACATCAAATTGGTTTGCATGAGCGATTTATAATGCCATGATCACAATTACTTTTACTTAAGATAAACGGATTTGTTTTCAGGTCAATATCTATAGTTTACTTGATATAAGCAAGCTGATATGAAAATCACGGTTGGAAATAGGTTACCCCCACCCCCCACTCTCCCCCAGGATCAAGGTCAATGTGATAGCATAATTTTCATTTTATGTACTAAAACAAAAGCATGCTTATTTGTTATGTCCATCTTTTTTATCATTTATAATACACTGGTTGCATTGCAAATTACCTGTGTATTGTATTGCCGCTAGAAAATATTCTATTATCAAACCTATGAAAACCGGAATCCTTTGAGACTAGATTTTAGTAAATTACCTATAAGTTCAATGAATTTATCCTCTAAAAACCAAAACATCTTAAAGCTGAAAACCGGTCAGTTTTCTATAGCTACTTAAGCTAAACATGCATTAAAATCCTTGAAAATCGGGTAGCATATTAAATTTAAACTTTTTGTGTATTTCAATGCTGATAAAAAATAACCTAACAGGTTAAATGCCCTATTACCATTTGAAAATACCATTCTTTACCTATAATTATTATAGTCATATTCCACTTACTAATTAATAGATATTTTATAAGCAAATACAAAATGTTTTTTGTAGAAATGTGATGTTTAAATATCTAATGTTTCGAAATATATTGACGAATCTGCAAAACAAATAAAAAATTTAAAACAGTTACAATTGCAAAAAAGGAAATTAAAATACTAGTATATCTTAAACAAAAGAGTAGAAAGAAGATACAAGTAGATTTAAACAAAGTAAATATTAAAACTCATCATTATAATAATAAATGTTTAAATATCTGAAAACTGGTATCCTCCAAGAACCGCACTTTTGGTCAAGTCCGGACAGGGTCTAGTTTCAAGCTAGCTTTATATCACATAATACAGTTGTATTCTAAAGTCAGAATGAATTAACACGATGATATTTGAGAAGAATATTATAAGCAGTGAAGGAAGTTATGAAATAGTGTTAATCTTCGGTAGTGATATTTAAAGGAATGTCAGTTTCTTTTGCCCTCTGCTCTTGTACTCTTATTTGTAGTCTATATATTTCTGCCCTGGTATATTTAGTGGTAGTTTTAGGTTTTCAGAGTTTTTACTATACAATGGTGATGATTAAAAACCTGGTTTCGTGTCATTGCTATGTTTCTTGTGTTATAAAAGCATTATGTTAATTACATTATGTTTGTTTGACTTAGTTTGGCGTCGCACCAACACAGTATAGATCATATGACGACTTTCCAGCTTTACTGGCGAGGGAAGACCTAACATGCCCTTCCGTGCATTATTTCAGGCACGGACGGGCATTTTTGTGGAACCACCGACGGATAGCTGAATAGCTCCCTCACACGATGTGGTGGGGGAGCAACTGGTTTGAAGGCATCGACCTTTATCTCTTAGTCACAGACGCCCCTTTAATACACCAAGGTTTATTTTAAAAAAGTTTTACACTGTATATGTTTACTCTAATCATTAGTATCGGTTATCCCATATAAATTCAATTTAATAAATACTTCATATTTAATTTTTTATTTTTCTTTTATTAATAAAATGTTTTAGGAAAAGGGGATTTTGACTTACAATATCAATCAATTGAAAAACTTTACCTGGTATTTGTCTTTGCTCAATGTCGCGAAGATGTACCTGCAGATTGAAATACATGAGAGTTGGACACAATTCTTTTAAAACACTGATGCAATTTCAGATAAAAAATTCAACTGTACCATGAAAACCATACGAATAATACAAATATACGTAACGTCGTTATACTTCTGAATTTAAAGGGTGATATCGATGTCAAAAAGGTATGTCAAACATTGATGTATAAATTGATCGTAATTATTCACTTCATCTATGGTTGAGTATTAACTTGAAATGCATAAAATGTAAAAAAAAAAATCCTTCTTAATCTTCTTATTGATATAAATGCAACTGAACACATACATCGAAGTTATTTATATTATTAATCAAATGACCGTCTAAAATATTCCGATGAGCTCGATCATTTACTTCGTAGTTGTCAAAGAATGCTATTTCATTGTATGAAGTCATGAATAATAGCTCCGTTATTGTTTGTATCCTGTCATTGGCGCGATGAAAAATGAAAATCCTAATTCTATAAGAAGTTATGTTAATAAAAAGAAAACAAACTTACGTAATGAGTGGTTATTGTATCCGTTCTAATTTGCAACATACTCCTTCGTAGCTGAATCGTATCAGGTGAAGGTGTCTTCCCAATTGGAGGTGCAGCTTTATAAATATTCAATTAAAGCTTTATGCTCTTAATGTTCAAATAAAAATCAAAAGCTTAAACTCTAACCAGGTATCAATGTTTAGATATTCATTTTCTTTAAATCGATTTCGATACTTAATGAAAGGAAATGAATTTAAAAAGCAAAACTACCTTAGAAAATATAATAATTTAATATATTTGAAATAGTGTACACGTAGGGATAAATAATTAGAAAACCTTATCATCATTATCGTATTCACCATTCCAAGGCTAACAGATACATTTGGGTGGTGGCGTGGCCGAGTGGTTCGCTTCGGACTAGTAACCTCAGGATTGCTGACCGTGTTGGTTCACACCCCATCAGGGTCAGCCGTTAAGTCTATGCAAAAGCCTTTTCACCCATTGCTTAGAACTGGTTGGTTCCAATAACAGATTCGAAAGTGTTTCAAAAAGCTAATGGCTTACAACACAATCGGGCTAGATTAAATAAGTATAAAGTAAAAGTGACCATACAATGATCATTGTGTAAGCAGAATAAAGGCAGTTGACAATATATTAAAATGATTCTTCTTAGATGAATTGTACGATTTAATTGTTCCTATTTCTTAAGAACAATAATTAAAGAACATTGCGACTGGCATCTCCTATTCATTGGAAACATTTCAATGTCTGTTAAGGGCGTTTTCGAGAGTTTTAATAAAGACATAGAGGCAAAACCAAAACTGTTCAATAGAATTTCTTTAAACTTGGCATGCTGCAAGAATATGATACCACAAACATGTTCAGCGAAAAGAAAATTGGGGTCACCGTTATCGTTTTTGCGTTATCTGCCCCTGAATCAGACTTTTCTACTTATTTGAGGTCATTTAAAGGGCAGATAACTTCTACATACTTAAATGAATTCCTGTTTTTACTTCTGGATTATGTTTTTTCTTTTTATTGTTGAGTACAATACATAATAACATGCAATTCCTTACATCATTTCTGTTATTTTTTTCAATGAAAATAAAGGTACTTTAAATTCTAAAAACAATACGCCATTTTTTAAAAAAATTATGCACAGGTGAAAAGAAGAAATGGAAAATTAATAAAAACGACCCACTCTAAGTTTGTTATTGAAATTTTGCATATCAACTAAAACGAAGGTAAGCTTAGTGAAATAAGAAAAAAATGTATTGTTTCCATTCATTGTAAGTAATCTGCCCTTGAATTTAACAAAATAAAACTCCATTCAAGAACAGATAACTCAAAAATGAGAACGGTTTCCCCAATTTGTTTTCGCTTAAAATGTTTCTGTTATCATATTCTAACAACATGCCAAGTTTCAAGAAATTCTATAGAACAGTTTTAATTTTGCATATATGTCTATATGAAAACTCCCGAAAACGTCTTTAAGTCACCACCTAGATCATTATCTTCAGCCTTCTGAACGTAATTCCTAGGGAGGTATCCATATCTCCCACCTGCTTCACCACGGAACCATTCATCACATTTTTCCCAAACCGTCACAATTTCTCCTGCCTTGATTTCGATTTCACTCGGCATTGTTGGTTCGTAATTGTACAAAGCTATGTATTTTTCTTTAAAAACAATGAAATATAATGAAAACTTTACTGGTGCTGTTCATAAGCCGTTGTTGTAATTTACTACATTGGTAGTTATAATTACGTTTCGTACAATTACATTCAGCAAAAAAAATCATCATTCTGATTACAAGCATGTAAATCCATTTATCAAAAAAGAAAGGTTTTGATATTCAGGAACTCTCATTCTTAATAATTTGTACATTATGTTATTGAATTGAAAATAATTTATTATCAAAACATTTATCTCAAGCCACAAACATAAATATATTCGTTGATATTTTAAGTTTTTTTCATTATCAACCTCAAGAAATATACGAATGTAACCTTGCTTTATTTGAATTTACCAGGCTTTTGTTGAGGTACCAGTATCATATCTTGGTCTGATTGTACATGAAATACACGGTCTGGGTGTGCTGCTTGATCTCGTTCTGTACTTAGAATTGGAGATCCTGTACATTAAAAAACATCATTTATTTCTTTACATTTAGCCTGGTGAATATGTGTAAAAGATCAGCAAAACTTTGGATTAAGAACAGTATATTTAGGTGTTAAAATGTTATAATTATGAAACTGCCAATGTTCTAGAGCATAGTCGGTGTTCCCGTGACCGAGTGGTTGATGTCATTGTCGTCAAACCACTTGCCCTTACTGCCGTAAACTCGTTCATGCGAGGAAAATATCCAGCTAGCCTACGAACGTTGGTTGTTCTATTCAGATGCCGGATGTATCTGAAATACTACCAGGAAGGCCGCCTGAGGTCTAACTCTATCAAAGGTGCACACGATCTCGCTTGTAATTGCTTTTGGACCCACTACGGTTAATGTTTGGTATTGTTTATAAAAATAGGAAAACGATATCTGCTCAATAAATACAGACATGAATGAGAAATTTCAAACAAATGCAAAAATGTTGCTTGGGATTGCTTGTTGGTCATTTTGGGTCATTGTTGCTATAAATTAATAGAGAAAATATTGTTTCTGGTTAATTACTAGAGTTTTGAATGAGATATTTCAATGAAATGAGTTTCCTAGCAGCCATATGTGTAGTCTTTGCTTGGGATTGCTTGGGACTTTGTTTAGGGATTCTGATTATCTCTATTTTATTGTCACATCCGTGTTATTTGTGCAATGTGGCGGCTGTAAAAAGTCTCCCCGTACATTTAATCAATGATGTTATATTTTCGATCCTTGAACATCGTTCAGCACGACATTATTGTTGTGTATGCATGTTATATGGTACTTTAAGTTTCTTCTATTTGGCCATTTTCTACTTGGATGGTTCCAGTATTCCTACTTGAATACTGTATAATCACCCTTAGTTCATACGGCGGTTATCATGGAACCTTCAATGTGACACAGTAGTGCCATTTCATGAAAAGCGACGTATTGTCCCCAAGTAAAAGAATGTGTGTGCCCTAAACGAGAAAGCAATGGACGGAACTAAATAAAATGGAGTTTTGAAAGGGGATCTAATGTTAGGGAGCCTGCATATCACAGACAAGACGTCAAAAGACAAATACAAAAAGCAAGCAACATATCCAAAGGGTGATTATACAGTATTCATGTTGGAATACTGCAACCACCCAAATTGAAAAAGGCCAAATACAAGAACTAAAAATACCATCTAAGATGTATACACAACAATAAAATAGAGAAATACATAATCTCTAAAGAAAGCCCAACACAACAAAATTGAAAATGTTGCAGACTCGGTTTGATTGAGTCTGTTCATGGACGGTACTGCAAAGTGCAAGTTACCGTCCACGCCCCCTAGCATCGGCTTAAGCAGAATTCAACATTTAAACACGAAAAATGGTAAAATTTGAATTTACAGACATCCGCAGTTGTGTTCATGCGGCAATTATCATGGAACCTTCAAAGTGACATAGTAGTGCCATTCCATGAAAAGCGGCTTATGGTCCCCAAGTAAAAGAATGCGTGTGCCCTAAACGAGGAAACAATGGGCGGAACTAAATAAAATGGAATTTTGAAAGGGGATCTGAGGTTATGAAGTCTGCATACTATGATACAATGTATGTTTATACGTTACAATAACAAAACATTGTGATAATTAACACTAGCTTAAGTAAGACCTAATCTGAGACAGCCAAACTCTTGTCTCAATATATTCAAGATCAATCTCAAATCTCAATATAATATTTATCTCACGGAAATTTAATGGAAGGCAAACTAAGAAAAATCTTAATCTAAATTTTTGAGTTGAGAAGAATCTCAGAAATAGTGGAGGACCTCACTGTAGACGAGTTTTTTCCTTCCTTATAAAGCAGCTTTCTCGGATTTTGATTTCGGGAGCAATCGAGAGGATATTTTTGTCTGAAGAAGTCATTTTCTATGATAAGTCACACTTTGCTTAACAATCGCTTGACAGGATAATTCCTTAAGCTTTTTAAATCTCTAAAACCCCTGTCACACTCGGACGGCGTTCTCACGGCGTCCAATGAAACTTCAGAACGCCGAGGTAAGCGCAGTAAGATCGCAAACATCGCCGCAGCATCGCCGTAGCATCGTAGTGGCATCGCATAGAACGCCGACCGACGGCGCGCATTTTGAACATGTTCAAAACAAACGCCGTCACTCGGCGTTCTACAATGAGCTCAGTGGAATCGCAGCAAGGACGCCGTAGCAACTCAGTAACATCTTCTACAACGCAACAGGAGCGCCGTGAAAGCGCAAAAGGAACACCGAATGAACGCGGTGATTATCCACGGCGCTTGTATGGAGTTTGTGCGGCGTCCTTACCGCGCTAATACTGCGTGTGCACGGCGCTTTTACAGAGCTTTACGATTTCAATGCAGTGTGAATGCCGTAAGGGCGCCGTATAAGCGCCATAAAAGCGCAGTGAAAGCGCAAAGAACGTCGTAGAAGCGCCATCTGAACGAAGACAATCGTCAATAAAAACGCCATGGAAGCTCCGTAGCATCGCCATGTTTGCCGTGGGGACGCCGTGAAGACTCCATGAAGTCTTCATGTCATCAAAAATATCACATTTTTCATTGCGATCTCGCGGCGCTTTGTTACATTTTACAACGCCGTGCAAACGTAGTGAAAGCGCAGTCTAGTGTGACAGGGCCTTTACCACTGAAGTATATTACATGCAAAACAATGACGCTATACTAGTAATAAAAGACAACTAACAATTATACATTTTTCATATTTTATTATCATAAACTGACATTTTGATAATAGTAATGATACGATAACCCTTCAATAGCCATATGGAAAAGACACATTACCATCTCTCACTGTGGTATATGATATGCAAAACAATCACGTTATAGTAGTGATAAAAGACAACAAACAATAACAAATTATTCATATTTTATTATCATAAAAGTGATTTTTTGATAACAGCAATAGCTCTTCAATAGCCATATGGAAAAGACACACAACCATCTCTCACTCTCTTATCAAATACAGTCCTTTACTGTTGTGTTTGGGTCAGTGTTAAAAATTTAGCTTGATCACGGTCTCTATATATTTTATGGTAATCTGTTACGGTTACAATTTCATTTGAAGGGCTTCTAACCATACTTCTGATCGTTCCAAATCTAATTGTTTTGTTTTTTTGTTTTTAGCTCGACTTTTTTTTTTCAAAAAAAAAGTAGAGGTATTGCTATAGTCGCAGCGGCGTTACCGTTGCCGTTCGCAAACTTGTACTTGGATCATAACTTTTTTATTTCTTGGTGTATTGTCTTCATACTTGGCCACAACAACGCTTGGGAAAGACCTTTCAGTTGACCACACTTACCTTGACCTTCATCCATAAATTATCTTGACCTTCAAGGTTAAAAGTCCAATTTTTGCTTGTTCAAGCTGTTATTGGCTGTAACTTTGTTATTTTGTTAGGATTGTCTTAAAACGTGGACATAATAATCTTTAAGGATATCCCTTAACAATAACTAGACAGACCATGACCTTCACTCATAAATGACCTTGACTTTGAAGCTCAAATTATTGAAAATTTCATTTTTTTTGCTATTTTTTGCTGTAACTTTGTTATTTTTAAATGGATTGTCTTCAAACTTGAACATAATAATCTTCAAGGAAAACCCTTAAAAACAACAAGACAGACGTAATACCACCATGTTACACCACCACGTTACACCACCGCGTGACATCACGTGTCACCACCACGTGATACCACATGACACCACCACATGATTCCACCACATGTCACCACCACGTGACATCACGTGTCACCAACACGTGTCACTGTCATCACAACGTGTCACCACCACCACCACGTGTCACCACCTCCACATGTCATCGCCAAGTGTCAACACCACTACGTGTCACCATTTGCCACTACCACGTGTCACTACCACGTCTCACCACCACGTGACACCATGTGTATCTTTTTATAGAATTTTCTATTTATAGAATTGCATGTTTCTATTTATAGAATTGCGTGTTTCTATTTATAGAATTATCTATTTATAGAAATGTGTGTTGTTTACCATGCAATGAATTATATTACCAGTTTCATCTTGGTGTTTAAATTTGTAGACAAAACCTTTTAGGCCACTTGTCACGAATATTTCGATTCTATTTCCAGGTATTTCATCAAAAAGATCGCCCAGATAATCACCTAGGGAGGTTTTCGTGTCCGCTCCATAAATCCTATACCAATTGAAAGGATTTTCTTCAAACTTTGCTCAAATGTTCACCTCACGAGGGAATGTGCAGAACCCATAATGCCCAGGTGTCAGGTAAAGGTCACAATTGAAGGTCAAATATCAAGGCAATATGTTGTGTCCGCTCTGTAAGTCCTACACTTATTTAAGGATTTTCTTCAATCTTGGCTCAAATGATCACCTAAACAAGGCTATGTGCAGAACCCATGTCACCCTTAGGCCGGCTCAAAAATTGATTTAGAAAATATTCTTAAATTTCAACATGTATTAATATATTTCTGAAACTAGAAAAGGTATTTGCTTGAAACTTAACACATATATGAAGTGTTACAATTTAGATATGCATGTCAAGTTTCATAACTCTGTATTGCATTTTAACAAAGTTATGCTGCTTTTTAAGACTTCAAATTTACATACAATCAAATATTAGACAATATGTCTTGTCCGCTCTATAAATCCTATACTAATGGAAGAATTTTCTTTAAACTTTACTTAAATGTTCACCTCAACAAGGTTATGTGCAGAATCTATCTTCCCCTTGTGCCAGCTTAAGGTCGAGGCCACACATGAAGGTCAAAAATTGACTTAGAAAATGTTCTGAAATTTTAACATGTACTTGAATATTTCTAAAACTAAAAAAGATAATCATTTGAAACTTCAAAAATATACAAAGTGTCGCAAGTAAGATATGCATGTCAAGTTTCATAACTAAAAAAAGTGGAGGGGGATAACTTTGTATTGTATTTTGACAAAATTAAGTCCATTTTTATGTCTTTAAATTTATTAACTATAATATTTCTTAAGCCAGAACAGATATTAACTTGAAACTTAAACTTTATATGAATGGTTACAAGCAAAAATAGAGTGAAATAAGAATCCCTAAAGAAAACCCAAAACGGCAAAATTTTAAAATTGCATCGGTTTATGACCTGTTCAGGCGTACTTTATTTCAAAAAACCGTTCCGCCCCCTACACCAGCTTACAGATTCAAAAATTTCTAATCTAAAATTAGAATTTTGAAACATCCGCAGATAAAAAGTCAGATGACGAAAATTCTACAATTCCATTGAATTATGACACAAGTTATGCCCCTTTTAGGCTTAGAAAATGTTCTGATATAACCATTTATACTTGAATGTTTCTGAAACTAGAACAGAAATTCACTTGAAAGTATATAATATATGAAGAGTCACAAGTATGCTCAGTATGCAAAGTTTTTCCACTCTTAATTACATTTTGACATAATTATGCTATTTTCTTAACTTCGCTGCATTTGTAAGTTTTAGTACATTGGGAAAATAAAAGGTTATTTTTAACTGTTTCGAACAAGATTTGACAATATACTTATACTATTGCCTGTACAATTTGTCTTGTTTTCTTCAGAGATAATTTCCTTTTATGTACCACTAAAGTTATTCCTTTAACCACCTTTTAAAGTCGTCTTCTATCAAGGACATTAGCGGGGGTATGAATTGCATTCAGCGATAGTTCTAGTTCATAATACTGTTGAATGTTTATATTCTTTGTTCTTCAGTGATACACCATTTTGTCCAACCACTTTGTTCTTGTTTGATTTTAAGAATTAATTTATATATCGAGTGAAATGACCCACTTCGTTAGTAATAGAATCATTTTGAGAGATGTTTTCGAAATGCCAGACCTCATAGATTGAATCCAATATGTAACCTTTATCAATGGCTTTTTTAACTTCGTCTGTGACCCAAGAACCTATAAAAAAATCTTTCTTTGTTCGTATGCAGACATTTTGTCTGTTTGTAAGTTTCAGCGCATGTTTTACACAAAGCAAATAGTAATTTTCCGTTCATTTTTAATGGCAGCACAGGTATAAATAAATCTTGTGCGGGAATAAAAAAACAAGAATAAAGATCAACAAGGCAAAGGCAACGCTCAGGACGCGGCCCCCGACACACTCATATAACTTTACATTTGATAAACCCCTTGTATTAATCAATTTCGGCAAACTTTTCTGTATTAATGTTAGGATGACCGAAGGGATTTTTTCCTGTCTTATTGATAAATGGATAAAGGAATGAAACATCATAATATTGTATATTTTCTTCATCATTGGCTTCTTTGTAAAGGGTGAATGCATCTGTTTGACAGACACCCCCTGACCCCCTCCAAAAAAGCCTCTCTAGGTTGTAAGGTAGTTGCCATATCAAGCTGTTCTATAAAAGTCCTCATCTCACTGTTTCCTTTTAATTGTTTCTCAAACTCAGATTCCCAGATAGATACATACGCATAACCAAGCTCTTCTATATATGTCTATTTAGTCAAAGTATTTTGATAAAGCTCACTTATGGTAAGTTTACTGACAGGTTTCATTGTATTTCTTGAATATTGGTTAGAATTCCTATGCCAAAAGTCACCATGAAATTCAACTTGGCTAAGTTAATGTTCAATTTGTTCTGGGGAGAATTTGGTCAAAGACTAAACAAAAATTAAGTAGAATTTATCGATGATCCTGCCTGTACTTTTGAAAAACTGACAAGCGACAGGGAAGAAGTAACAGCAGTAAGCTTTGTTTCTAATGACATGGTAGAAATACGCTGGAAATACAGGTGTATTTGTAAATCCTTCTGGGAAAACAATTATTGTCATAGCTGCTTACACAACAGCTCAAGCCAGACTCAAATTTTACTCTTACTTTAAAAATTTAGGTGCGCGTGCATTGTATGCAGATACCAAATCTGTCGTATTTTCCTCAAAATCTAGAGACTGGGTGCCCTCCCTAGGTAAATTTTTTTTTCGATCTTACTGACAAAAAACCTGGAAATCAAATCGAAACATTTGTGACAAGTGGCCCAAAAAAAGTTATGCCTACGAATTAAAAGATCCAGATGAAACTGGTAATATAACTCATTGCAAGGTAAAGTGTATCACCCTTAACTTTAAAAACAAAATTACAATAAACTTTGGAACAATCAAAGATATGGTTGAAACCTTCAAATGAAATTGTAACCATAACAGATTTCCATAAAATATGCAGAGACCGTGATCAAGCTAAACATTTAACCATCTGAACCAAACAAAACAGTAAAGGATTGTATTTGATAAGAGGGTGAGAGATGGTTGTGTGTCTTTTCCATATGGCTATTGAAGAGCTATTGCTGTTATCAAAATATCACTTTTATGATAATAAAATATGAATAATTTGTTATTGTTTGTTGTCTTTTATCACTACTATAACGTGTTTGTAATGTATATCATATACCACAGTGGTGAGAGATTTAAAAAAGCTATAGGATTGATCCTGTAAAGCAATTTTTAAGCAAAGTATGACTTATTAAAAAAAGACCTTTCTAGACTAACATATCCTCTCGAAAATTGACTGGTTCCAAAATCAAAATCAAAGATGGCTGCTTTATATAGACAAAAAAAGGAAAAGCACTCGTCCAGAGTGGGGTCCTCCACTACTCTCCGATTTGAGCTGAGTTTCTGACCTGGGCTTTTGCACGATTTTTTGTAGTGTTGATTGTAGTGCCTTGGAATGCATAGTTGAAGTTTTAGGTTTTCAGAGTTTTGTATGTAAAATGGCAATAATTGGAAACCTTGTGGCATTGTCATATTTTTTGATTGATAACAAAACACTATGTTTATACCCTTATGTTTGTTACATTGGGGTTAACGTCGCATGTAGGTCATATGGCGACTTTCCAGCTTTAGCGTTGTGTTATAGCCCCGGCTGTCCGTCTGTGCATTATTTCTGACACGAATGGGGAATTGAGAATAACCACCGAAACTAATTTGATCGCTTCCTCACATGAAAGAGTGAAAGGATCCCAGTCGGGAATTGAAAATACAACGTTTAGGGGTAAGTAGTTCGAAGTCAACGACATTACCTCAACATTAACTCGGCCACAGGCCCTTTAAATACATTATCACTCGTAAACAATAATATAGATTTAATGAATACTTCTGAAAAAAAAGCGATTGTGAATCAATTGAAATTTTACCTGGTTTTTGTGTTTGCTCAATTTCTCGAAACTGTACCTACAAAATTGAAATGATTTGGACACACTTTTGAAAGAAATTTCCATGTAAATTTGACAATCTATGAATAATGGAAGTGCAAATATTCAATTTAAAAAAGGTGATATTGATGTGAAAAATAATTGGTATGTAAATTGATCGTATTTATTTAATGAAAATATGGTAGGTATCAACTTGAAACTAAACACTTGCATAGTTAGTCATATATTAGCTAGTATAAGATTCCGATCAACAACTTAATTGTTGTCAAAAAATTATACAACATTGTATGAAGTAAAAGTTATGCCCATTAACTCCTGGAAAAATCATATCACATATCCAAATTGGAACAAATATATAAAAGTTCTGTTATCATTGTTTCCTATACTTACACCGAAAAGCCGAGGGGATGATAAATGCAAAATCTTATTATATTACAAGTTATAAAAAAAAATAACGTACGTGAATACTGTAGTTACCGTATCATAATCATAATTTTGATGCCATGTGTTCCTTCGTCGTCGTCGTATGGTTCCAGGCGATGGTTTATTTGCAATCGGAGGTGCAGCTTTATAAAATATGTTGTTAATATAAATAATGCTCTTACTTTTTTGAATCAAAGTCAATTGCTTTGAATATAACGAGGTTTCAATTTAGAGATTTTCTTTTTGAATAAATTTCAATATGTTTCAAAAGGAAACAAAGTTGATACTTTGGATAAAAAAAAAAATCAAAAGATTTCAAAGAGTGACTTAGGAACGAAAATAAACAAGAGGGCCATGATGGTCCTGAGTCGCTCATTAGGAACAATTTCTTTTCAGAGTTTAAAATTATCCATAATTGTCAATATTTTCTGATATCTAATTTGAGCATTGAATATGTTTAAACATTAATTTGAAGAAATGCAATGACTTGGGCATTTACGCTTTAGCTTAAACGGCACCAATCAAATTAATATGAGCAAACTTGATAAAAGACTACGTAATACTGCTACAAAATTTGGTGATCATCTATCAATAATTTCAGTAGGAAATGTTCAAAGATTTTTATATTTTTGGCTTTAGTGGCCCCTGAAAGGGGCCAATCAAATTAATATGAACAAACTTGATAAAAGCGTACCTAAGAATGCACCAGGCAACGTTTGGTGATCATCCATCAATTAGTTCTGTAGAAAAAGACGTTTAAAGGTATTTCTTTTTTAGCTTTAGCGGCTCCTAAAAGGGGCCAATCAAATTAACATGATCAAAATTGATAAAAGCCTACCAAAAAATGCTACAGACAAAAATTGGTAATTATACATCATTTAGTTATATAAAAGAAGATGTTTAAAGGTTTTCCTATTTTTAGCTCTAGAGACCCCTAAAAGGGGCCAATCAAATTTATATGATCAATCTGATAAAAGACTACCCAGAATACTACAGACAAAGGTTGGTGATCATCCATTTATTAGTTCTGTAGAAATAGATGTTTAGAGGTAGTTCTATTTTTCAGCTTAAGCGACACCTAAAAGGGGCCAATCAAATTAATATGAGCAAACTTGATAAAAGACTACCTAAGAATTGTACAGACAGACAAAGTTTGGTGATTATCCATCGATTAGTTCTGTAGTAGAAGTGTTTAAAGGTTTAAAGGGGCCGATTGAAATGGCATAAGCAAATGCAAGTGTGACTGCCAAAATGATGCTACAGACCAAATTTGAAGTCAGGGAAGAAGACGACTGTTGACGCATGACGACGGACGTGGACCGGACGACGGACGTCGGAGGATCCCCCTTTGATACTTATAGTTTTCCCTGAGCCTTCGACTTTGGTGAGCTAGAAACATATCAACGCCATCGTATTAATCGGTTCAAAAGAGTATAGTTAATTTAAAGTATTCATTATGTAAACAGGATAAATGGAGATCGCATTACAGCAAAATGACTTATTTACTTAAACCTATTTATTAGAACAATTACTAAACTAAAATTGTCACAAGTGACGAATTACTCCGACACGCGCTTGTCAGAAAAATGTTGTTTTTTTTGTTAATGATTTTTCACATAGGGAGAGGAGAATGCGAAAGTTAATAGAGTTTTTTTCAAACGTTTTTGAATTATGTGTCCTACATCAATAAGAGAAATTAAAGTTTTTGAAGCTTTCCTGACTCCTTTTAATGGCAAAACGTTATGTTTCTCTGAGATTTCTGCACTTCAACTTAATGAATATATACAACTTCATAGCTTCATTTTGATACCTTTCATAGTTCTAAAGTTATGTCCTGGACAAATTTCAAAGTGTGAAAAGGAACAAAGGGCTTTAATTCCAATATATGGGAAGACAGTGTTATGGTTCTTTTGTACTGAACTTCTTCACAATAAGATATTTCTGCCTACAAATTTATTGTAAATATCCGTTGTTATTAGAGAGTTATTTCACGGACAAAGCTCAAAGTGTAAAAATAAACACAGGGAAAACTACAAAGTTAGACTAGGCAGTGTAACGGGTTTTTTTGCACTGCACTTTTTCTGAATGAGATCTATCCATCTACAAAGTTTCTTGATTATACCCCTTGTCGTTTTAGAGCTATGTGCCTGACAAAGTTTAAAGTGTTTAAAGCAAAGGGCAATATCCCTAAAATTAGGCAAGGCAAGGTTACAGTCCTTTCGCATTGCACCTTTACTCAATGAGATCTATCTACCTACAAAGTTTCTTGTTACGACCCCTTGTCGTTTTAGATTTATGTGCCGGGCAATGTTCAATGTGTAAAATCAAAGGGCAATTATTCTTAGATTAGGAAATGCAGAGTGACTGTGCTTTTGCACGGCACTTTTACTCAATAATATCTAGCCAGCTACATAATTTGAAGTTGATAACTATTGAAGTTGCAGATTTATGTCCTGGACAAGAAATCTGCAACTGACAAACCGCCTGACCGACCAACCGACCACCAGCTGACTCCAGTATACCCCCTAAAACTTCGTTTGTCAAGGGGTATAAAAATATTGCAACTTGCATATCCTATTCGGATCTTTGGAAAATATATCAACATCTCTTCTAGCCGCTGCATTGTGAGGCATCCTCATATCAACTTGTTCATCTTCAGTATCTGGGTTCATGCATCCTTAATATAGAGAAAAAAATCAAATTAACAAGAGCTATTACAGGATCTTAGACCTTTTAAAAACTAGGAGGAGTAAAAATGCCTGAATTATTAAAAGAATCAATTGAAATATTGTAATATTTGTATATTTATAAACACTTTATCAAGCCTGTCAGCATGTCACCATGTCAATGAAAAGAAAGAAATAAAAATATGACAAGAAGATATATTAGAAAAGATAACAATGATGAATCTGAAGTATCCATCCTTTCAGTAGCGCAGAAAGAAAGAGTAAAAAAAAATTGATTAAAACAAAGACGATTCTTTGAAAGAAAAAAAGTTATGAACCTTGTTATAGATGCTGTTAGTGATGACAAGTGACACTTAGCTTAAAATTGTTAAAATAGACCATTTTATCAAAGAATTAGAAATCTAAGAATTGTCCATTTTCGAAAAGATTGTCAGTTCAAAATTGTATTAAGGAGCTGACGCTTCATTTAATGTACATTGGCACATAATGTGTATGATTCAGCTTAAGATAAGGAACTTATATTTAAGATAAGGTATCTTTCGCAAGACAGTAAAAGGTACAGGAAAAAAACAATTGTTACGAAATATTCAAGGTTCTGATGGAGGTAGTTCTTGAAATATTGGGACAAAGAGTGATGCTTATAAAATGAGTGATGATAAGAAGAAATTTATAATTGAAAATTAAAGCTTTTCCCCACAGAAATAAAGAAGATAAATGTTAACAATCTTACACTAAATTCAGGAAAGTAATCTAGTGATATTAGTATTAAGGTTATTAATCTTATCTTTTGTGATATGATGTGGTATGAAACGTATATATCTGTTGTATTCCCTAAAGGTATAAAAAGTAAAAAATATACTGCGCTTAAACGTAAACAATAAATCTGGTTAACGCGTATAGTCATCCTTAAAATAATCCAATGACTTAACCATCAATCTACATTAAAGGTATCTATCAACGCGTATTGTGTTCAAATCGCGCGCGACTAAGACTTAATTAATATTTCTGTCGGTCATGACTTTATTAATTAATATACTGTTATCACATACTGTCCATATTGTATTGATATTGTGATATGAATGGATTATGAATTAGTTCAATACTTATCGACAAATTTTAATGCATTAAACATCATATTAAAGGGACGGATCTGTTCCCTTTAATTAATAAATGCTAATAAAGATATATATTTGCCTGACCTTTCGTTAATGTACAATGGGCCATCCAAAAATTCGTGGACTTTCTTTGTTGTGTAAAATATTTTTGAGATATTCGTTTGAAATTCTTTCACTGCTTAGAAAAATTCATAACAGGAAAGTACATGTCCTTTCAAAATGTGTTGATAATATTCTACAGGGTATGCTGATAAAATGTCAGTAAAATACACGTTGAGTGCAAGAAATATTTTTTTAAAAGTTTACGAATTTTTGGATAACCCCTCGTACCTACACAATCGTGAATATTGAGGAAAAAACTGCGCGATGTTTCGAACAAAGTTTTATTTACTTTTGTCTAATTGAACGCTGTAGCTGGTTTTGATAGAAGGAGATGTGGTTTTGATAGATTGTGATGTCGTTTTGATAGATGGTAATGTCGTTTTTATATATTTTGATGTTGTCTTGGTACATGGCGATGCCCATTTCATGTACATGTATTCTGATGTCGTTTAAATGTATGGTTATGTGATTTTTATGTATCGTGATGTCCTTTTCAAATATGATGATGTGATTTTGATAGATGGTAAAGTGGTTTTGGTAAATGATGATGTAACTTGGATAAATGATGCTCAATTGTTTAGTTTCTATATACATGTGTATAGTGATACTATTTGTTTATTGTTCTATAATATTAATTACGATTAATGTTGACTGTTTATAGTAGTCTGGAAGTTACCCGGATCTGTTTGATGATTGCAAAACTATTCTGATACCGCAAAAACTGAAGGCAATTTTTGTCGTCAGTTTGGAAAAATTCTTTCAGTCCACTTAGGGCATTGGAGATATTAACCCTTGAATAAAAATGATGTTGCGTCAAGTCAAAGCAGGATCAACGTCTTTAATTAATCAACACAGCGCATATTGATAGATTATGTAACATCTAACTGCACAATACCGGAACGAATTTGGACAAGTAGATAGCGTTGCAGTTGAGTCAAAAAGGAGTTCAAAAGCTGCGTACGAGTCCAAATTTATAAACAAATTGTATATGCTACATATAAATAAGCTGTTTATTCTACATCTATTTTCGATTTTGAAGTTCTTCCAGCACATTCAATTATGAAAATTTAGCAATTCTTAAAAAGGTACTGGTGGGTCGGCAATTTTTCATTATCCCTCGTGTACAGAATCAATCTTACCGGGTCTGCAATTTTCATTTAGATTTGCTGTGATCTATGCTTCCGAAGAATCAAAATTTCTGTTACTTGAAGTTCTGTTCTTTCCAGTACCGTCCATGAACAAGTTTAATCAAACCGAACATGCAATATTTTTAAATTTGCCGTTTCGTGCGTTATACAGGGATTCTTTTTTCAGACATTCAGGTTTCGTAACGTCCCTTTTCAAAATTCTATGTCGTTTTGTTCGCCTATTGTTTTCTTAATTAGGACATTAGCATTTGTTTATTGAAGGACCATACGCGACTTTTCATAGATAGCATTAATGTGTCACATTGAAGGTTCCATTATCATTACTGTATGAAAACATCTGCGGATGTCTCTAAAATAGAGAAAAACTGAATCCCTAAAGAAAGCCCAACAAGGCAAAATTGTAAATGTTGCAGGCTTGGTTTGATTAAACTTGTTCATGGACGGTACTGGAAAGTGCAGGTCACCACCCGCGCCCCTCGGCACGGGATTAGATTAAGCAGAATTCAACATTTAATCACGGAAATTGTTTAACTTTGAATTTATAAACATCCGCAGATGGATTCATATGGCGGTTATACTGGAAATGTGACACGTTAGTGCCATTCTATGAATAGCGGCATATGGTCTCAAAATAAACATCGCGTGTGCCCCTAACGAGAAAACAATGGACGAAACTAAATAAAATGGAATTTTGAAAAGGGGTAGAGAAGTTATAAATTCTTAATTCAAAATTTCACCATTGCATTTTAAAATGTTGAATTCTGCTTACGCTAATGCTTAACAAAAGCTTTTATTTTTTCTTTACCGCCCAGGTTCAATCAAATCGAGCCTGTAACATCATCAATTTTGCCGTTTTAAGCATTGTCTACAGATACTATCATTTTCTGTTTTATCATTGTTCCATAAATATCGCTTTTTAAGGAATATTTAGTTCCTTCATTTACTTTTTCCCTAGTTAGGTGGTTCCAATATTTCTACTTTGATACTGTATGATCACGCTAAGAATATGATGCCTGCTTTTAACGTTGTCTTTTGACAGCTCGTCTATGATATATTAGCTTCATAACCTCAGACCCCCTTTCAAAATTCCATTTTATTATGTTCCGCCAAATAATTTTTTTTATTTAGAACAAAAGCATTCTTTCAATTGAAAACAAAACGACCCTTTGCATGGAATGACATTAACGTCCAATGAAGGCTCTAAGATTACCGCATTATGAAAACATCTGCGGATATTTCTGAATTGTTTGAGTATTGAATTCTGCTCAAGCCGATGCATGGGGAGTGGGCGGTAGCTTGCATTTACCACTACCGTCCATGGTTAGATTAAATCATACCTAGCTTGCGCATTTAATTTTACAGTTAAGGCGTATTTACGAACTCCAGCGTCTAATATGGAAGTATATTGGATGGACACGCGGTTAAATTTTAAACAATGATGGAATGTTAATGATTAATACAAAGTTATATATCTTATCGATATATTTATATATGCTATGTGTATGTGCTGGGATTGACGAGAATAAAAATATGGGATTGTAATGTTTTTGGTTAATGATGACAGAATTACTACAATTATTACGGTGTCAGACCAGTTTTTCCATCATCAAACTGATTCGGTGAACGGTCAGACCATCTATAAATCGTAGACATCATCGTCATAAAAATGATAGAACCATTTATCAAAACAGCATCACTATTTATTGAAACGTCATCACCATGTATCAAAACCATTACATCATATAGTAATATGAAAGAACACATCACCATTTGTAGTAATCACCGAAATAACAAAATCATTAATGAAAATCAAAACACCATCTATCAAAATAGCATCACTATTTCGTTAAACTACAGCAAAATCTACCAAAACGACATCATCATAATTATCAAAACCGCAGCACTTTTACCAAAATTACATTATCAATTATCAAGATGACATTACCATACCCTCAAATCATATCACAATCTATCAAAACGACATCACAATTTATCAAAACCTAAGACCATTTATCAAAACCACAACACCAGTGCCATCTACCAAAACGACATCACAATTTATCAAAGCGATATCACCACAAATGAAGCTAGTTTAGAAGGCAACTATGGCGTTTCATACTATACAATCTATTCTTAAAATAATCATTTATTCGATCGTTCGTTAGCTCATTCATTCATTCATTCATTCATTCATTCGTTCGTTTATTCATTCATTCATTAATGCATGCATGCATTAATTCATTCATTCTGCGTCCATATTAAATCATACCATTCGATACGTCTTGTATACTGCCTTATAGACGTGTAAGTTTTGTAATCATAAATTAGTAAAAACATACCCATATAAATTGCTAATGTTTACTTAAGCAACATTATTGCTATTCATCATTGATTTGTTTTCGTTATTTAATCCTAATTGTGCAAAAATATTTCTAACGTGAAAATTTAAACAGAAGTCAACAGCAAGATACCATGTATCAGGGTCAAATAAGAGTCCCATTTTATTACCTTCCTGGTCTTTCCTTTGCAACAACTAGCGCAGATCGTATACGTAGGCACAGAAGTGCATAAATATGAAACTTGTCATACATACCTCTGAACTTTTAGATCGCTAAAGGAATGTCATTGAAATTAGAATATATAAAGATATTATTAGTATTTAGACACTGATAAAATAACTCTCTATTTGAAGCGTCGCGTGGGGTTTTTCTCAAGTATTTAATTTATAAATGTATGAATGTGTACGTATATGTACATACACAAAAGAACAGGCTGAAATGTCCTTAATTGCATTCTTTATTAAGATATAAACGTCCGTCCATACATACGTCCGTCCGTCGTATTTTGCATTTAAAAAAATTGAAAAGCAAAAAAAATCATTATCAATGTTAATAAATATAATCCATATATGAATGAAATATATTTATTAATAAAACCATGGTTCATAACTGAAAAAAAAAGAAATAAAAAAAACACGACTTAATTAGCCACGAGCAATTTGGAAACAATTTGCGTTATATAATTATGAGTGTTATTGTAATGCCATTGATGATAATGCTGTTAATGAAAATGATGATAATGACAATGAGGTGATGATGAGTTGGATGATGATTTTGATAATGATGACTTATTTGACTGATGATATTTAAAAATAATTTTTTGTTGATGATTGTGAAAAGGATAGTGTTGATGATAACAATGTCGATGATACAGATTGTGAAGAAGATAATGATAAGATTTAAGGGATAATGATGAAGACAATGATGATGATAAGAGGGATGAAAAGAATGACTAAAAAATTCAATAAAATGATTATCCTTACGGATAATCGCGAATGATGGTGATCATAATGAAAAAATAATTATGATGATGATGATGATTGTAGTGATGATTTTGATGTTGATTATGACAAAAATGATGATGCTGAAGTTCATTATGGTGTTTAACATTATAAGGGATAGTTTTAACAATGACATAATTGATGATATAATATTGATGATAATGATGAGATGAAAATAACGATAATGGACGATGATAAAGAAAAGGAGGGGGGAGTGACAATCGCTTTCAGATTAAAAACACGATATTGATGATGACGATGTAATACGGCGATGAAGATGAAAAAAATGGCGCATATGACAATAATGGTGATGATATTGGGATGATGAATTGTTAGAACTTTTATGATATAATAAATATGATGATGATAGTGATTCTTGATTATTGGCAAATAATGGTGATAATCATTATGATGCTTACGACTATTGTGATGATGACAATGATGATTATGGTAACGATAATGATGATGATTGGGATGACATTGATGATAATTCACAATTAATGAATTTTAAAAAAGATTTATTTTGCCATGTTAATGCTATGGCAAAATTTGCCATCGCAGAAATTGTTAATTTTGAGATTTATATTGAAAACATTACAATGGGTGCCAACAGTATGTGTTACAAAATATTCAGTCTTTTTTCTAATCTTTTCAGTTTGCCGCGGATAATATACCATGGGAAAGTTACAAAACTTGTTTGCATGTTAGCCATGGAAAAGCTTTGATAAAATACCGGAAATCCGTAGCAAAGTCCTATTTTCCATTGCAAATGCAAACTTCGAATGAATTTTTACAACACACCTTTTTAAATATTTGAACAATGTAAGATTAGATTTTGTTAAAAGTCGTTTTAAAGAAACAAGTCTTGAGGGTGATCACATGGCGCCGCTGTTTAACACATTTACACATTTCCTGTAGATGCTTGATAGGTAGAACCATATACAAGATTTTATCCTTTAGTTTCCAACAGCCCAGTTTTAAGATATATCTAGCTTCTTTGACCTTTTTGAGCGTTGAACTAGAAATATGAATTAGGCTATCTAATTGTCATTTATAATATTATGTAAAAATCGGAAATATCTACTCCGTGGTTTGGGAGAAAGTTTTTAAGATAACGACGTTGAACGTGTGACGAACAACGCCTTGGACGACGGAAAATAGATGTTTTACATCTGAGCATATCTGTGCTTGAATTTTAACTATCAATACATACAATGTACCTGGTTTGTTTGTTTCTTCAGTGAAAACTGTATTCAGGGACTGAGTAGAATCACTGCGCGGAGGAGGTTCTTGTTGAGTACTCTGATCAGTGTCTGATCCATTTCCGGCAGATTTTTCAACATTTTCTTTAATAAAAATAAATACAATTTAACACGATTCTTGTATTTACCGAAAACATGTATTGCTTGTAATGATTAAAAAATTATTCATAAGTTTAATAATTCTATATTTTTCAAGATAAACTTAATATGGTTGAAAGGATTTAACTCCCCTGATTATTTAATCAGACCCAACCTATTTTACTGCTATTTGCGAAGGACAATTTAAAAATAATTCATGTGATATTTGGGCAAAATATTATCAATAGTGTTTTAGAAAAAAACACTTGAAAATTTTATACAAAGCACTAGCGAACAATGTATAAGAAACATGAGCGATCAAACAAAGTGATTGATTTAAGTTTGTATAATGACATTCGTTTTCATTTGGCAAAGCTGACTAGATTGAGCTTGCACTAACCACTTTCGTCTATGAACAGATTCGGATAAACTGAGTCTACATTTTTACACATTTTTTTCCTTTTGGAGTTTGTTTTTAAAAGTTTCAATGTTATTTATTTTATAGAAAATAATATAATCAAATTAATTTATATAGTTACATGAAGAATAAAACGTAATCCAGAAAGTTTATTACTTGGTACATGTTTTTGATCAAAAATATCTGTTATTTCAATAATTGATTCTTAAATATGAAAATACGGACTACAAGAAGTGCCATTGAACATTATTAAACCTTCTTTAATGTAATGCAAATAACTAGACGACAATTTATCATCCATTCATTTCCATAAATGAATGAAATGTTTCCTTCAAAAATACCCTTTAAACTCATATTTACTTCCTGTTCATTTTCATGTTTTATCAATCTACATTGCAATAAACACGTGATAAAACTATTTGACCAACATGGTCGGCAAAAATTAGGTATATAACATTGTTTGATAAAATATTTGACATACAAAAATAAACTTATTTCCGCAATTTGCTTTGATTTTACAATACTGTGTTCGATACACAGCACATCATAGAAAAAAGTTTGTACTGCTAAAAGACAGTACAACTAAGAGAACATTATGTGGGTAACAAACATAGAACTCAGTACAAAATCGATTTGAAACTATGTCGGCGTAAGTATTTCATGATTATCATATATCTCTATGTGAAAGACAAGATGTAATTTGTTATAATGTAGAAATGTGCAGGCAGCTAGCTTTGAAATGTGCACGGCCAAATTTGTACACAAAGTTAAGGTGTCCAAATGACTTTAGAACCTACCGTAATCATCATGTTCATCTTCATCTGCCACTGCTGCTTGTCCTGTGGTACTGCTCTGACGAGGTAACACAAAAACACCACGATGTTTTAATTCACGTGGCGGTTCTACAAATGTTGGAATATAGGTTTTTTAAGAAATATGCTACATAATATGAGAATTCATGTATGTATATTCATTCATCATCCAACTAAAACAAATTAATTTACTTTGTTTATTTCAATTACCTTATATAGTAAATAAAACTAATAAACCCTCATTCATATTTTGAACTTTATTGTTACATGTTTTAAAGCAGAACTTTTAAATGATAGCATTTGAAGTTGCTACATTTATTCCAAATAATCATTATAAATTTCATTTACTTACAAAAAAAACTTAACGCAATGACAAATGGACTTATCAAAGCACTGAATGAGCTGAATTTTTAGGGTTACAAAAACAGCAATATTATTGTTATCTTCACTATACATGTATGTGACAATAATAAAGAGAGGCCATATATTATAAATGTATATATTTGAAATTATGTGCAGTCATAAGATAATCGGGTCAGCCGTCAACCTAGCCGCACGATGTACTAAAAACCTCATTTCTTGTACTTGAGAATGTTATTGAGAATTTCTATTTCTATTTCGTATCCAATTGGCCAACGTGTTTTGATATGCTGTCTCTCACTAAGTCCTGTTAACATGTTATATTTGGTAATTTGTTTGCAAAATTTATAAATACGTTTGTTGACCTGTGATATATATATATATATATATATAAGTAAGTAAAATAATCATGTATTTCAAATTGGTGACAGAAAATTTTAATTTGATGTTTTCTTATTACATAGCATAATGGATCTGTGATTAATCGGGAACTCTTTTTTTCTGTTGTCTGAGAAGCGTGCTAATTTATACAAACGTAAATGCCGGATTTGATTTATTTAAGTAATAACTAAGATCATATAGATGCCAATACCTTTGGTTGACGCGGACGCCATTACTAACAAATCACCAAATTCTTTCTCTTCCTTCAAAAGCTGTCCCACCACGTGTCCTGCTTGAAACTCATACCTACCAAGGGAATTTATAATATCGGAATGATCATATTAATATAGGGTATGTAAAGGTATATATGGCTCACTTACAGGACAGAACAGGCTCAATCAAACCAAGCCGCAACATTTCAAATTTAGCTGTATAAGGTTTCCTTTAGAGATTCTATTTCACTCTATTTTGTTTATGACTTTTATCTTTTCTCCTGTATAAACAGTAATATTTAAGTACAAAATGTATTAAAACAATTAGGATGGGAATGTTATAGGGGTCGTATAAATTTCAATGACCTTTTCTGTTCAAAGAGTCCTCGACGAATGTTAACTACAGAAAAGCACACTTATAGAATGAGAGAATGTTTCGTTAACATCAAGTGTCTATGGTGTTAAGTAATGCCAACATGGTACGTAGATATCTGTTTGTGTTCGAGATTATTCGTTAGATTCAATCTAACCCTTTAATCATGGTAGCATTATTCCAGCGCTATGTTTACAAATGTAAAGATTAAGAAACTTTTCGAGTAAATATCAAACTCTTAAGTTTCATGTAAAATGCTACTAAAATTAACATGGCCATTTAAAGAACATCTAACCTCAAACTATGGCACTCGGTTATGACGATTGTTTATGAGAAATATTAAAATAGATGATTGCTATGTTTATAAGTGTTTGTTTGTTTGTTTGGATTTTACGGCACGTCAACACATAACAGGCCATATCGTGCCGAATGCTATAATAGGCTTAAAATATTATGTAAAACATTGTAAATGACAATAAAAATGAGCCAATTAGATCCTAGAATACAAGTTTATCTCTTTTAAATAATCAATTATGTTTTTTGATGGAATTGTATTAAAAAGTTCTTTGAGTGAATTTACAGAATAAAATCTATTACGGGCCTGTGAAAAATCATGACATTCAAGAAGAAAATGCTTGACAGTAAAAATTTTCATTTACAACCTACACAGAAAGGGGCATTGTCATTTGTGAGGAGATAAGATGGGTAATTTTAGTGTGTCCAATTCGGCATCGAAGAAGAACTGTTTGTCGCGGCGGTTTGACAGAGATAGAGATGGTGACATTCAAGAGATGGGTTTATATCGTGAAGTTTATTAAAAACGGCATTGTCCCAATTTGCTTCCATTCAGATGATACGAGTTTATTTATAGCCGGTCTAAAATCACAAGCATGGGCGGTAACAATAAGTCAGTTTTTTGAAAATTTAATGATTGTTTAGCTAAAGCATCTCTACTTTTTCATTTCCTCGTATTCCTACATGGCTTGGAATCCAATTATAATTTAACATATTTTTTGTTTTTAGTATATCATGAAATCGCAAAAGAAGTTTCTTTACCATGATATTGTCAGATTTTTTATTTTTAATGGATATTAAAACAGAAAGCGAGTCAGAAAATATCACAAATTTATCGTGGGTATGCTGTGCTATGTATGACAATGCTAAATCGATAGCTTTTGCTTCAGCAGTAAAAATTGATGCATTATCTGGTAACCTCATACTAGATGTAAAATTATTTTCAAAACACAGCGCGCACCTACTTTGCAACCTTCTTTTGAACCGTCCGTATAAATATGTATAACATCTTCATGCTCTTCCTTAATTGCTAGAAACTTCTCTTTGAAAATATTCAGGTGAATTTGATGCCTTTTTTATATTTGAAAGGTTAATATTTATTTCCGGGGAATTAAAAGTCCAAGACGGAACATCCTCATCGTCATTTTGAAGGATACTGTCTGGATTAATTTTAAGTTTATCTAAATCAACTTTTAAACGAAGGCCTAATGGTTTAATTTCCTTTGGTTTGCTAACAAATTTTCAGTATAACTTGGTTTGAAAATAATATTTTTTAGCTGGATTTTTCCTATTAGATGAAATTCTAGTTGCATATTGAAGTGATAGTTTTTTACGTCGAAGATAAAAGCGATGGTTCCCCCAGCTTCCGCATATAGACTTTCTACAGGTGAAGTGCGAAAAGCACCTAAAGCTAAACGTAAACCCTGGTGATGTATGGTATCTTAGCATTTTGAAGATATGATTTTCTTGCGGACCCATATACTACAGAACCATAATCTAATTTTTGATCGGATAAGACTTCTGTATAATTTCAGTAATGTGGAGAATTTGATCCCCAATTTTGTACTTGATAAAACCTTAAGTAAATTTTAAAGCTTTTAGGCATCTAGTTTTCAAATGTTTAATATGTGGTATAAAAGAAAGTTTTTTTATCAAATATAATTCCTAGAAACTTAGCTTCATCAACTACTGGAATTTTAGAACCAGATATGTAAAGTTCAGGGTCATTATGTTGTTTTCGCAATCGGCAGAAATGAACACATTTGAGTTTTTTACTTTGAAAATTTTAAACCCATTTTCTATTGCCCACTTCTGAATTTTATCTAAATTTTGTTGAAGTTGCCGTTCAATTGTTCTCATACTTTTCGATCGATAGCAGATAAGAAAATCGTCTACATATAGAGAACAATCTATGTCAACCCTGGTGTCAGAGCGCTAGCAATATTGCATTTTATTTTAAGTCCAAAAAGTTGTAACAGAAAGTATGCTTCCTTGAGGAAACACCTTGTTCTTGTTTGTGTGATCCTCAGAAAAAGTTGAACCAAGTTTCTTACTTTAAAAGTGCCTATCGTTTAAAAATCCAGAAATGAAAAAAGGGAAGTCTGCCTTTAAGTCCAGCATCCTTTAGATCTTTTAGGATACCATATTTCCAAGTAGTATCGTAAGCCTTCTCAAGATCAAAGAAAAATTGATACCAGGGTGTTTTTTTATTTACAAAGGCTTCTCTAATAAAAGTTTCAAGTCGTACAAGATGATCATTTGTACTTCGCTGTTTACGAAAAACCTGACTGAAAATTAGTAAATATTTCCATTATTTTCTAGATACCAAACTAACCGATTATTTATCATTCTTTCGAATGTTTGCAGAGACAACTTGTCAGTGAAAATTGGGCGATAATTTTATAGGGTCAGTTTGAATCTTTTCCAGGTCTTAGGGATAGGAATAACCAACGCATTTTTCCAAGTGTTAGGAAATTCACCAGAAACCCAAATTCTGTGAAAAATTTCAAGAAGCAAGTCAAGAGATTGGGGCGGTAGGTGTTTAAGAAACTGGTAGTAAATTTCGTCCGGGCCTGCAGCACTGTCTTTTGCAGTTTTAATTGAATAAATTAAGTCTAAAAGTGTGCAAAAGTATATTTAAATTGGTATAAAGCTTTAAGTTTTAATATTTTTTATCAGAGTTCGGATTTTGAGACAAGTTAAGTATGTAAGATCTACCCTTAATAAAAGTAAGCTTGATTCGTTATACAGAGTGAAATATAATAGTATATAAGTATAAATATAGAAGTTTTTAGGTACATCGCACATAGTTACCTTTCAACAAAATTTGATTTTTCAATTTCTTCTAGCTCCATTTCAATTTGCTGTAAATTATCTTGTGATTGTTTCAAAGCTATAAATAATGCCACGTTTTGTCCACTCTCTTTTTTTGCTTTTATTTCCTGGCGAATCTCTGCAGCTTTATTCTTATTTATGCACAATTGCTTATTCACACTTTGTAATCTTTTCTTGGATTGTTCGTACCTGACTTGATTCTTCTCATATAATATTTTGTGATGTGTCTCAATCAGATCGATCAATTCCTGTTTATGCTTGTTAATCAAAGATTCTGTTTCTTCTTTTAAGTGATTTGTTGTTTCATTCACTTCGTTATTTTCTGCCAATGTTTCATCTGCACGCGTGATAACGGTATTAAGTCTGTCTTCAAACTCCTCAGTTTTAACGCAGTCAGTAGATGCTTTTTCAATTGTAAGTATCCTTTTATGATTGCCCGAATTATGCTCTGTAGCTTGACAAATAACACAGATCACTTTGTCACAATCCACACAAAACAAGTCTACTGTATACTTTGGATGTTTGTCACATATTGGAGGAAATACCTCCTTTTTTACTTTTTTGTCTTTCTTTCCCATCACGATATATTGAAAACCTACCTATGAAAGAAATAATAAACAACCATTATTTTATTTTTCTTATTCTAAGTTCATGAAGGCTTTAACTATTGTTTTTATCCACTGTTAACAAAAAGTTAAGTAAATATTTTGATATCTCACTTACGAATAACTCCCCGTTTAACGTACAAATGATATTCTTCTACAGACTCGTATAAAACATATGCATACAATGAGTGGATAAAATTTCTGGTCTACGTGAAGGACGTCACAATCATTTTACCTTGAATATAATAGGACAGAGTTTTTCAATGAAATGATTTATCTTAATATATACATTTTATATTTAATGCTAACCAGTTCAACATATTAATTCGCTTTAGTAATAATGCTGTGTCAAATCTTTAGTTGATGTGCATTTTAATTTTCATGAATCTGTATATCTGTATATTTATTAAATAGAACTCATTTGTTTCGTTACTTTTTTGCTAACGTTACATTTTTAAATCATAAATTAAATTATCGTAACTTCATTTAAGTGGTTAAAAGTTGCACCGCAATGATTACTTGTTTTCTCCGCCTCATCGATTTACGCCTGTCGTTATCTTCTTTACATGCCTCTGTTTCCCGCGCTTCGATGAAAAGTGTTTGACCTTTCTACTTAGTCATGACATAAAAAATTGTTTGATCACACATCAAATTATGATTTCTTCCTAGTTCTGAGGATGATGATTCATTCAAAACAAACATATGTTATCTTATTTATAAAAACGATATTATTTGTTTACAGGAATGGCGATTTGTCATAGTCTTGTTATACTCGGCAAACAATACAGGAACCATTTCATTTGATTGTTTGACAATTTACAAATTATAATTTCTATATTATATATTTAAGGCATAAACTAGATTTTTTGGAGACATAGTTGTCCGAAAAATATTGACCGAATATTGTAACTTAAACATTGTTCACAATGAATTCATACTTTTACTACATATTTTTATTAAGAGTGTGTTTAACAAGTGTTGGTATTGGTATTAAAAAGCGAATAAGTATACATTCGGGTGGTTCTATAATTGTTGTGTAAAAGGTTGAGATTTTACATCCATTATGTTTCGAAAAGAAATAAAAGTCTCCACCTCAAAACCAAATATTTTGTCTTGAGCATTATACAATTGGTTTTATATTTAAAATCGTATTCTGAAGTAATAGTTAATCCAATAGATCACGATATAAAACGAAAATACATATACGCCATGAATTTACAACGAATTTGGCAATGTGCCAAAACAGGAAAAAGTAAGGGGATTGCACAATATATGTGACAGAAAACCAATACATTATTGAAAATATTTTATGGGTGACGCGTTCTACGTCCTTAAAATAGACACACAATCTTATTTGTAAGAAAGATTCGAATGCATTTAGACTGAGTTGTGATAAAAATGCGAGCCTTTGTAAATCACGCAGGCAAAAAATGTAAATACCGATACATTAAATAGTATAATAGATTGTCTACGTTATCTAAGTTAAACATTTTATAATTTATCACGGCTTTGTTGAAAAAATAAAAAGTACGAGTAGTGAATCTCATAATCAAATGACACCGTAAATGACACAACTTAAATATATATATATTACTTAAGTCAAAAACTAATCTTCCATAAAATTATGTGTGTCTATATTGCTACAAAACATAAAGCATTAATCACAACCAAATTACATAAAATTACAGATTCGACTTGATTGAGCCTGTGCATGAGGAAAAATAATAAACTTTAACATCCTTTATACCCCGGGCGGAACTCAATTGTCAAGACTAAAAGTGCTGAAATCACTGTTTGTTCAAAAAACTGCAACATACGTACTAAATAAGAGTTATATCTATTTGTAAGTATCTTTATTCAACTGTATTACACAATGATCAAGATCTCGAAATGATGAGAACAGAAACTATAATAAACTGACGAACTATATAATAAACTGATAAACTATGATAATTATCCTATATCTCCCCCAAGTCTTTTGGCAGGCAGTATCTATTTAGTTTATGAATATAATGAACTAAATGAAAAAGACTGATATTTAACTTGACAGTAAATAAACACATGATAATATAAATAACCAATGATTTAACATTGTCTTATAGAATATTGACTGTTGAAAGTCTTCATTTATTCACTTTATACAAGTATAAGTCTTTTTGCCATTCTGGGGCATGCCTAATGCGGCTGTACCGTCATGGCGGGTAGGAAGTAGACTCAACCGTTGGCGATGGAACAACCGTTGCTTTAGCACAAGGTGGGCCTGTGGCAACATCTGGCGGTGAGATGGCATCTTGAGTTATTGGTTAGAGTATGTGAGCTGACGACATGGGCTTTGTACCTGGGTGCAAGTAGGTGTCTCGTATGAGGCTTCCATTTTAGGCAGGCATGCAGGCCCGGGTGACTGTTCCGGCACTGTGACTGTTTTCATCGGAGTTGTTAATCCATGCTTCACTGTTGCGTCCGTAGTAACAGTAGGGGAAGTGACAGGATTCAGCAAAGAAAACGATGGTTGATGTAGCGTAGTGTCAGTGTCTATGGTAAGCCGCTTTGGCGGCAACTGAACTGGAACATATTTGCGAAGAAATGTCCTGTTCCGCAGAGTGACACGTCTAGAACCATCAATGCGCACAACGTACTGGTCAAACTGGCGCACCTCAATGACTACTCCTGTCTTATCCCACTTGCGAGGGAATGAGCCAATTTGGTTCCGCATCCGAACGTGGTCTCCAACAGAAAGATGTGGTAGTCTTTGTGTATGTTCCGACAGTCTTTCTGCACATTGCATATGTCTGTTGCGCAATGCCTCTTCACGGGCAAGGGATGTGTTTCGCCATGTTGGGTGAGGCTTGTATTTCCCAGGTCGAATTGGGATGAAATCTCTAATTGGTCGACCAAATATGCATATGGCTGGGAGAGCTTCGTGTCTCTGTCTGGTGTATTTCTGTATTGAAAGAGTCTGTATCAATGTCGCCAGAAGAGCTAGTACTGTCAATTAGAAGGCGTTTGACTGTCATGACTCCAATCTCTGCTCTGCAGTTGCTGTGGGGGAAGGCTACTGAGGATAATCTATGATGAACACCCCAGTCACTTAAGAACTGCCTTGTAGTTGTAGCTGTGAATTCTGGTCCCCGGTCAGATGCAAGTTCGTCAGGTATCCCGTATGTAACAAGATGCCTCTGAGGCAAGTAAACAGTCCTTGACCTCCAACGGCTGACTGCTTTACGATGGGCCAGTTTGAGTAGCGGTCCACAACCACCAGGTAATGGTTACTTTTGTAAGTAAAGTAATCAGCACAGATGCACTGGAAAGGATACTCAGGACTCATTGGTGGAACTGGTGGAGCACTCGGGTTGGACGGTGCATTGCGGTTGCATTTTTGGCATCTTGCACGAAGAATGTTTATGTCAGGCGTGATTCCTAGCCAAAACACGGATGTCTCAGCTCGAGCTATCATGGATGTAACACCTTGGTGAGATGAAGGTAAGGCATCTAGAACTTCCTTCCTGAGTGATTGCAGGATAACTACACGGTCCTTGTACAGAATAACCCCATCAATGGTCGACAAGCCTTCACGGTACTGGAAATACTGTCGTAGAGATTCTGGTTCTTCATGACGGTGCTGTGGCATTCCACCTTCTATGATCTCACTCAGTAGAAGCATATCCTGGTCACTGGCTGTAGCTATACGAACTCTATCCCAGGTCACCGACTTCAGGCCAAGGGTGTTCGATGATGCAACATCAGTTGAAATCATGTTTCCGTCTCTGCCACTTGTTTGAATGTATTGAGTATTTGAATTTTCCAGATGGAAGCTCTTTGGAGTTCTGTGATTGGTCACTTGGGCAACATCATCAGGGAAGATAAGTTTTCCTGCATCACTAATAGGATGGCGTGAAAGGCAGTCAGTAGCACGATGTTTGACGCCAGGGATGTGGATATTACGAAATTTGTATCTTAGTGTTTTCTCCTTCAAGTTTCTCAAACGATTGTTGGAAATGTCCTCAAGAGATCGGTCACTGAAGATCTTAAGAAGTGGTTTATGGTCAACCGCAATGGCTAAGTCCTTGCATCCTTATACAAAGTATCTGGCCTTGTCCAGGAATCTGCAACTGTTAGTGCCTCACCCTCGATAGGTGCATAGCGAGATTCTGCTAAATGAGTGAATCTACTGCCGACAAGTGTGATCTTCCATCCAGATGGACAACAAAAAAGTTCTGTCTTATCACATTTACAGTGTTTCTGAAGGGGCCAGAACCCGATACCTGATTAAGACCAGTCAGTTGTCAAACATGTGGGTCTGTCAGGGTCAAAGATGCGAACGCCTTCTTCTATTTATTTTATAATCTGTGCTTTTGACTCCTCAAATAATGTCTGAAGATGTTCATTCCACTGGAAAACAGTGCCTTGCTTCAAGAGATCCCGAAATGGTTACATGCGCTCTGCCATACTGAAAACATATGACACCTGATTTACAAGGCCAAACCATGAACAAACGTCTGTGATGTCTTTTTGTGTGGGAAAGTCCATGATGGCTTGCAGGTATCTCTGACAGCGTCTGACTTCATCACGAGTGATTTCAAAGCCGGCAAACTCGACCTCATCTGCTCCGAAGACAAACTTTTCTGGGTTGAGTGTTATACCGTTCCTTCCACAGACGTCAAGCCAACGCACTGCCTGGAAGAAACTTTCTTCTAGGTCTTTGCCCAGAGTAAGGCGTCATCAATACACTTGGTTTTGTTTGGAATGTCTGTAACTACCTCATCATAGCGTCTTGTGTAACCATCACCTGAGGCAATGTAGCCTTGTGGGCGGTTTTGTATCGGTATCTTCCCCATGGCTTCATGAATGTCGGTGTTCTACATATAGTGGGACACTATGATAGCCGTTCCAGGCATCAAACACTGTTTTTTTCTTCCCATTTGGAACCGATCGCGCTTGGAGGAATGGGGAAGGTGTGTGATGTGTCTCATGTGATGCATGTGCATTGTGAGCCTGGAAGTCAACTGTTCGTCTGAGCTGTCCATTTTTCTTAGCACATATGACCATCCGATGGCACCATGTGACAGGTTGTCCGATGGGGACTGGTTCTAGCACGCCCAACCGTAAATCTTGATCAAGGCCTTCTTTTACTGCAGCTCGCCAGTGTATTGGAACGAGTACTGGTGTGTGATAGGCCAATGGTTCAGCGTTTGGATCAACCAAAAGCTTCATATGTGGGACATTCATTAGAGGCAGAGTCTGGTGTTTACAAGTGTTGAATGTGCTGGACCTGTAGTACTCAAGGAGATACTCCTGTAGTTTTAAGCGGTTTTCTTCTACAGGTGAAAATGGCAGAACAGAACACTTGGCGGTGGAGGTGGAGATTGGCGCTCAGAACATCCGCATGGCGCAGTGTTCTCTCCATGGACAGCTGCGGTACCGGTTTGTAAGTGCTGTATGTCTGGAAACCTATTGCTGATGATACCTAGCTGTACACATGCCTCTCTACTCAGAAACAGTTTGTCTGAAGAGTCTGTAACATATGTCATCTGCCTCTTTAATTTCCAACACTCCACCACTACTGTCTTTGCTTAAGAACCGTAGTAAAGAGGCTCCAAGAATCTTGATTGTTAGCTGTGTGCATGCGCATTGTCACAGGGATAAGGTCAGATTTAGATAGTCCTATGCGATAAATAACTTTAAGACCGGCAAGGCAGCTCTGAACTGAAAACCGGTGTCAGCCATAGCAGGAATAATGGTGGGCGCTGACGGTGTTGGCAGGTCGACTCCAAAGGCTGAGTAATCTTCAGGAAGAGCTCGCACAGTAATGTTCACAAATGGCTGAGACTTTGAGTTTCTGCGAAACCACGTGTCTGTCATGCTGTCGTAGAAGTGATGATCTAGTGAAATACTTTGCCGTTGTCCGGTTTGAATAGTGTTTAGATTGTCATGCTGTGGTTGAGGGGAATTCAGTGTACACAAGGTGTTAAACACAGCACTTTCTTTGTCAAAATTGTGTTGGCTAGACTGTGTTTGGCGTTTTGGGTTGTCCTTGCTGCGGCAGATATTATCGAAATGGTGATCTCGATGACAAAGTTCCACCTGTGGCCATATGCAGGACACTGAGTCTTACTCAGTTGTGCCACACTTTTCTTGACATGACCACGTTTCCAACAATAAGAACACAGGTCTTGATTGTCCGTTTAAATGTTAAATTTTGCCCAAGCTGGTGATGGGGGGGGGGGAGCGTGGACGGAAGTTTGCACTTGACAGTACCGTTCATGAGAAGTCTCAATTAAACCGATTCTGAAACATTTCAATTTTGTTGTTTTGGACAGTCTTTAGGGATTCATATTTTCTCTATTTTTAAGTTTATGAAACTGCCCTTTTTCAAACTTTGCAACGGATTTTAATTGCAGTCACTTTTATGAATTTAAACATAAGCACATTTTAGGAATTTCGCGATAAAGAGACATGTGTTTGAATGTTATTTTGCATATTATAACTTTTGCTTTTGTTTTACTCAAAGTATATGAGTGACTGCCGTAGCTAAACGGTTATGGTCACTTTTTTATTTCAAATGTTCACTTTTGTTTTCGATTCTAACATATTTTCATTAATAGCTTATGATGAAAAGGTATACTTGTATTAAAAGATAACAGTCTGAAATACAAAAAAGGGCATTTAATTGCGATCCACAAGAAAAGCAATTTGGTACAGTGAAATCCTGTATCCAATTTCAGATAGATTGTTGCCGTTAATATTAATGCAAAATATGTAGATAAGTAAGTTTAAAACCATGAATGTGTTCAAAAGAAAGCTTAATAAATAAATCGAACATGTGGCTAACAGTGTGATAATAAAAAAGAAGACCTACAGAAATAAAACAGAAGTGAATTCTTTTGATTTTTGTTAGTGAGAAGGGCAATAAACCAAAACCTTGTTACACACATGCGCACTCACGCATCCGAGCGTACATCGTAGAACTTGTTTTTATTTGATCCTGAAATCATCAGACACATTCTTAAATATGCTCGATTAGTTAGTTATTCACAAAATATTGTTAATGTTATTTCTGTGAAATGAAGTTGATATTCAAATAAAATTACAGAACGCTATTTACAGCACAATACAAAATAGGCAGTGCGACATAAATAGTTGAAGAACACTAGTATAGTTATAAACTTGTTTAAGTAGGCACAGCAATATGTTATTGGCACCTTGCACCTTGCATGTTGCATAGGGTTTTTTTCCTATTCTATTTACAGTATAATGTAACTTCCTTCACGTAGAATTGATCTTTTTAAGTGTGATATGTGACACCTATATGATAAAATATCGTTTGTATGTTTAACGGAGTGCTATTCTATATAGTGATCTAAATATTTGTTTGTTTTGTTGTTCACATATGATAAAAAAATAGTTTAAGTGTCAATGCATTATGAAAGATAGCGGGGATTGTGGGTGACTGATTTTCACAAGTATGTTTTCAATATATCGTGACTCTCGTGAAGTCAAGATGGGAAAGAAACTCCGGAAAAAAACTACTGTCACAGTTCAAGAAAAAAAGGATATATTTTCTGCATTATGTGACAAACATCCTAAGTATACTGTAGACCTGTTTTGTGTGGATTGTAACAAAGTGATATGTGTTATTTGCCAAGCTACAGAGCATAATAATGGCGATCATAAGAAGATACAGACAATTGAAGACGCCGCTACTAACTGCGCTGAAACTAAGGAGTTTGTAGTGTATGAAAAGAACATGTCTGTCATTTCCACACGTGTAAATGAAACATTGGCAAATAATTACAAAATAACAACAACAACTGAACACTTGAAAGAGGAAGCAGCATCTTTGATAAGGAAGCATAAAGAAGATTTGATTGGTCTCATCGAAAGACATCACAAGATATTATATGAAAGGAATCGGTTCAAATACGAAAACTCCATTGCTAGATTACGTAAAGTGAATGAGCAATTGACTACGAAGGAAAGGGAAACTTCAGACATTCACCAGGAAATCAATGAAAAGAAGGAGAGTGGTCAAGACGTAGCATTGTTTATAGCTATGAAAAAATCACAAGATAATTTACAGCAAATTGAAATTGAGCTAGAAGAAATTGAAAAACTAAATTTTGTTGAAAGGTAACTATTTTCGATATAGCTACAAACTTCTACGTTTCAACTTATATACGTGTACTTTCGTATTTTTAAATCTAATTCTGTATAACGCAGCTAGCTTACTTTTTATACAGGGTTATCTTACCTAAACTTACTTGGCTGAAAATTCTGTTGAGATAATCATCATAACTAAAATCTTTTAATAAATCTGAATATAATTTTGCACACTCAACACTTACAAACACAATGAAATAGAAGTTTGATTGAGCCTGTCATTGGACAGTAGTGAAAAGGGCAAGTTATCGTCCATGTCAACTAGACTCAGGCTTAAGCAATATTCACATATGATAAGCAATGCCGTTTTTCAGTACCTTTTACGTGCAACATTCCATCCTAAAGTGAGCAATATATACCATTACATTCATTTAATTTATATGATATACCGGGTTTTCGATATTATTAATTCTATTGGAAGGCAAGAGTTTCAACCAGGACACATGGTGGAAGAGCTTTTGAAGGAAGAGAAGGAATTTGGCGTATTGTTGGTAACGGCATTAGCGTCTCCAAAAGGTATTAGAATCTACGTAATCATGCCCAAATAAAACACACTATAGCGATTGATTATGAATTTAATCAGTACAGCTACATTATTTAAAATTTTGAATAACATAAATTTCATAAGCACCTAAAATTCATGTTCAGATAGTGCGTCAATTGTTTTTGTTTGTCTCCTCAGACCCAAGCAAATATTTTAATACTGCTTTTTGAAGCCTATACTCCATTTGTTGTCAAATCCGACAAAGACCCGTCTGTATAAATTAAGAGGCGCTTTAATTTTTCATCGATTTTAGAGACCAGAAAATATCATTTCCCGATCAAATATCAGTTATATTTTGCAGAAAGAAAACATTTGTAACAAATCAAACTTTTCAGACAACAATATCTACACGTTAAACATCAATGTCTGATATAACACGAAATACAAAATACAAAAGTTGTATTAATTATATTGGCAGTAAACTCTGTGGTACAAAATAAATTTGGTTAAATCGTGCTGCCAGGTCGTAAAATGAACCGGGTTGCTTTTTTTACTTTTTGTGTAGCAGAAGATAACATAACTGTTGATACGATTTTCGTACAAAAGCTGACTTTCTGCAAGGAAAAAAAGTATAACATGTACTTTGTTTCTTATCCAAACAAATTCACCACATTCAGTACTTTGATTAGCCCAGCGATCATTATGATAATTGGAATAAGATATAGTAGTCCCAAAATTTATTATTTATTAGTTCTGCTAACCACAATGTTAAAAAAAATAGTGAGTGTTTATTAGATTTATTCAGTGTTTATGGTGATAAAAGGAAAAATAGAAGATAATTGATCTTTATTGGTTGGATGAATCAGGGTCTTTCAAATAGAACGGTCTGGAGTTGGACAAGTTTTAAGAAAGAAGTTGTCTCTGCTGAGTCGCATGATTAGGTTATCTACCGACCGTGATCTAGAACAGTACATCACCGTTCAAAAATCAAATTATAAGATAATGTTTTGTAAAATCAATCAACAAATTACTAAAAAACTATTCCTGGAATCACTACACTATCAGTTTTTAATTTGAAAAGTAACAATTTTATAGATTTGCAATGAAATAAGAAATTTATCTTTCCCGGTGTCAAGGTTAAAATCTACTGCTCATATTTGAAAATAGGTCCGAGTGTCTTAGGCTTTCTTAATGTTATGCATTGTTCAACGACAAAATAGAAATTGATTTTAAGAGAAAAAATGTAAGTGGATCGTATCATGTAAAGATTTTATAATGCTTCACGATGTTATTTACAAATACTTTATGTTTAAGTTTGTGTATTTTCAAAATGGTGCCGTTTTTCGGCAAATATTCTGAACGAGCAATCTATATTTTTCAACAGATTATGGCTTTAAAAGCATTATTTTCTGAAATATTTATATATTTTTCCCAAGTTTAAAGATTTCTAAAGAACATCATGTTGTTAGAACTTTCATTTTTACTCTTGTGTTTCATTTTCACCCATTTCTTGAACACTTACCTAATGTGCATATAGCAAACTATACCGACTTATACCGAGACAAGTTTAATTTCAGCGAGAAGGGTTTACATAGCCCGTTTCTAGACCATACTATTTGAAAGACCCTGAATGAATGTATAAAAACGTATCCGCATGCTTTTAAATTTTTTTCGAAAAGTAAACCTATATTCTCATTCTTTTTGATAGAGGACGTGACACAGAAACTTGTAGTACCGTCACGTGATACGATGACTTCATATCACACTGGTGTCCGTGTGCTACCGAGTCAGAGCGATTCAATGGGACAAGATGAACTGACGGATGAAGATGAATCGGATGGTTACGGTAGGTTTGCAAATTAAAAGGACTTTTTACCTTAAATACGTCACGTTGTATTAATTTTTGGCGCGCTTATTCAGTATAAGGTTAAATTGTCCTTCTGAACGTTTCCTTGCATATAATATAAAGAGAATTTGATTAGTAGCAAGAGTAATTCATCCTAAATTATTTTACATTATAAATAAGTTAGGTAGTGCTGAAAGACACAACACATGTATCAGAACATTACAGCAAATAACAGATATTTGAAACAATGTCGGACAAATAATTTCACGATTCTAAGATATAGAGGATATTTGTTTAGTTCAGTGTAAGATCTGGCTATATTTCAACTACGGAGCACCTAAAGATGTATTTCACGAGTGACGATGCCCCAGCCCATAAATGTCGGGTGGTAGTAGACTTTTTGACCAAACAAAAAAGTTAATGTCCTAACTCCATCCTCTCTTCTCTCCTAGTTTAAGTCCATGTGATTCTTCTTTTTAATCCACGACTCAGAAAAAGTCTTTCAGAGCGGAGATATGGTACCAGGAGTACACTTTGAAGCACAGTACATCATTGGCAAACACAGGTACCAAGGGCAGACTACTACAGGACTTTTAAGCAATGAATTTTGAGATTGCAAACGTGCATTTCAATTAAGTGGGGGTATTTAGACGGATTGAAATAAATCATTTTGTGACACTTTTAACCGTCTTTATTTTATAAATAAAGTAACATTTTTTTTTAAGCACCCTCGTATTTTGAGATCCATTCAAAGCAAACACATGTTTTCGGTAAATAAAAAACTGTGTAAAATTGTGCTTTTATTAAAGAGCCTGTAGGACAAATCGCCGAAACAGGAACAATAATTTATCAGAAGAATCGACAAGAATATTCTCTGCGCAGAGATTCTACGCTCTCATTAAATACTTTATTCACCGAAGAACCAACTGAACAAGAGCGTTTATGTGGAGGAATCCTCAAAGACCCTAACACAGGCATGTATTAATAAAGACTAACTCCGGATAGGAAAATACATGAAAATTTCCCAGCTATACCGTAGGTACCAACAAACGTTTACAGTTACAGCTTTGAAATAAGCGCAAAAGATTGACTAATCTATTGTGAGGGGTACTGTACTGTGAAGTTATAACTGTAAAAGTTTGTACCTCCGAATTAGCTTAGAAAAAACACATTTCTGAGTTCCGGATAACGTTTATTAACATTTACTTCAGCACAGTTGTAAAACGTCAATTGTCTATCGTCCAAAGCGTCGTTTGCCACTCGTTTCCCGTGGTTATCTGCAATACTTTTCTACAAGACTTTCTCCATAACCAATCAATGAGTAGATGTTTCTGATCTTAACTTAAACGATAATTAGATTGTCCAATTATATTTTTTGTTCATCGCATAAAAAGGTCTTAAATGCTAGATAGATTTGTAAACTGAAATGCTCTTGACCGTAAGCTTTAGTATCTTGTTAATGATATGCCCCTACAAAAAATACATATTTATGTAAAAATATATGAACCACATGTGAGGACTTTGATATACGTGATTTTAACAGGAAATGCAAGTGGCAATGTTTTTTTTAATTATTAATCTTACGAAATAGCAAAACTTACAAAGGATAATCCTCTTTTTAAGAATCACTCTACTGAAATGGTATCTCATTTAATGATAGTTACAAAATGAATACGTTGCAGTTACTTTATTCCTTGGAATTGCTAAAGACGAGGGTTATGATATATCTTTTATTATTCGTCTTTAAATAAACATACTTCCAATTGTTCTAACCTTTTCATCCTAAGTTATAATTTTGTTATCATTTTGTTATCTTTTGAAATTTATCGAACTCCTTACA